ACTGTGAGATCATGACCTGAGCCAAAATCAAGAGTTGGATGCTCAACCAAATGAGCCACCTACATGCCCCAAAACAGGTAAATTAATAATGGAAACTGGAGAGTGCAGCAGAAAGTGGGAAGAGGGTCATTTGGTATGTGAAGAGATGGGAGCAAAGGTGGAGTTCAATGTCTGAGGATAGGCATAGGACATAAATTTTCATGCTAGTAGGGGAAAGACCCACATAAGCTTTTTGTTTTCTCCAGTGTGACTGGGACCAGACTGGCCTGGGGAAATTCAGATAGAAGCAAGCTCAAGTTGGCTTGACCTCATGGTAGTTGCTCTCCTTACCTCGACTTCATCTTATTACCCAACTGCTTGTCTCACCCATCATTCCTAGAGGACCATTAGCAAGTACTCAAGCTGGTCACATTATTTACAATTACAACTTGCACCATCAGAACTTACCTACCTACTTGTAGGCACCCATTCATTCTCTTTGAGTCTTTGAAAGTTGCTAAAGGCACCTTCTCTGGACTTCCATAGTTGATTTTTTTTTTAAATAAGGTAGCCTGACTCTTGGCATATCTTATAAATCTAGTAATTTTTACCATGCATCAGCCTCTCAGGATTCCCTGATGAATGATGGATGTGGTTTTTCTTTCCTGGAGCTTGCATTCTAGCATGGGAGCCAGTCATCACTTAATGATTTGCCAAATGAATTCCTTCACTGCCACTGTGATAAGCACTCTGTAGATGCAAAGTGTTTATGAGAGCATGTTACAGGCACCAGGACCTAGTCAGGAGATCAGGGGAGGCTTCCCTGAAGAAGTGACTTTGCAGCTGAGATTCAAAAGCAGAAGTTACTCTGGCTTGCCAGATAGTGTCTGTCCCTTTGGATCTACTTTCCTTAATACTTGAGGAGGCTGACCTTAATGGATAGCATCCACCTGGCTCCTTTGGTCTCTGGCATCCCATTTAGGTGCCAATTTAGGAGGCACCATCAGGAAATTGGAGAGAAAGAAAAGAGAGAGAAGTAGAGTGGTATTACCCCAGATCCCTTCCTGCCAGGCTGTGGATTGGCAATGCCTGCCTCCCTCTGTGGGAGGCTCCAACTCCTCTCCTATAGCTGCTGATCTTAGTTACGTCTCCTCCACTCCATGCTTCAGACCTAGGATGGTAGTGGCTTCTCTCTTGCCAGACCCAAGGGTGTTTCTTCATCTTTTTTTTTTTTTTTTTGGTTTCCCATAACCCAACTGTATTAGTTTCCTAGATCTGCCTTAACAAAATGCCACAAACTGGATGGCTTAAAACAAGAGAAATTTATAGTCTCATAATTCCAGAGGCTCAAGATCTGAAATAAAGGTGTCAGCCAGGCCATGCTCCCTCTGAACCCTGTAGGGCAATCCCTCCTTGACTCTCTCTACCTTCTAGTGGTTTGCTGGCCATCTCTGGTGTTCCTTGGGTTGGCTTGCAGCTGCATGACTCCAGCCTTTACCTTTGTGATTGCATGGTGTTCTCTTGTGTTTCTGTCTTTATGTGGCTGTCTTCTTATAAAGACATCAGTCATATTGGATCAGGGGCCCACCTTACTCCAGTATGACATCAATCTTAACGAATTATGTCCATTGAAATGATCTTATTTCCAAATAAGATCCCTTTCTATGGTACTAGGGTTAGGACTTCAACATATACATATTTTTTAAAACATTTATTTATTTATTTTTAAATGTTTTATTTATTTCTAGGAGAGAGAGAGAGAGAGAGACAGCGTGAGCAGGGGATGGTCAGAGAGAGAGGGAGTCACAGACTCTGAAACAGGCTCCAGGCTCTGAGCTGGCAGTCAGCACAGAGCCCGACGAGGGGCTCGAACCCACGAACCGTGAGATCATGACCTAAGTGAAAGTCAGATGCTTAACCGACTAAGCCACCCAGGCGCCCCTTTATTTATTTTTGAGAGACAGAGTGAGACAGAACATGAGGGGGGGGAGGAACAGAGAGAGAGAAACACAGAATCAGAAGCAGGCTCCAGGCTCCAAGATGTCAGCACAGAGCCTGACATGGGGCCTGAACTCATGAACCATGAAGATCTTGACCTGAGCTGAAGTCGGTTGCTCAACCAACCGACTGAGCTACCCAGGTGCCCCCAACATATCTTTTTTTGAGGGATACAATTCAACCCACAACACCTGCCCACATCTTGTAAATGTCTTTATTAGATTTTTTTTCTAATCACGCCTTCAAGAGTACCCTTTGTCTCCAGCTAGGACTCTGACTGATACACCAGGGATAGGGGCATTTGTAGGGGGGAAAAAAACCATTCAGAATAAGAAATAAGGACATACCAAAAAAAAAAAAAAAAAAAGCCCCGAGGCAGGAGGAAGTGCCTTGGGCTTAAAGCTGCATTAATATCAAAAGAATGGTTAGCAGGGCTCAAATAAGCCTGTCTTCCTACATAATTACCAAAGAACTCTCCCAAATAATGCAGGAAGTCATTCTGAAAAATCCCAAGAATGTGCTTGTGTTTATGACTGGGATTTATATCTGCCACAGGTTAGGAGTAATTTTAAGAGTTTATTGTTAATGGACAGCAACAACCCTCCTCTAGGCCTGACTAGGAGAGAGATAGAATGAATAATAAATCAAAGCAAGAAGCAGAAGGCAGTTAGGTAAGGGAACAGGTGATGGTCTGTTGGAAGCTTGAGACAGAGTGTGGCTAGAAGGTATGTCGTACCCAGTCCAGAAGATTGAGGACCTTCTCACTTCAGCATATCTGGGGGTGCCCCTGTGGAAGGTAGAAAAGTATGCCAGGGCCCGGCCCATGGACTCCACTTTTTCAGGCTCTGTGCAGGCTGTTTTTTGTGCTTAGTTATTCATTCTGAGTCAAGGTCGCCAATTAGGCCACAGCCAATTAAGCCACAGCTTCGCAGGCCCTGGGGGTTGTCAGTTTCTTTATGAGAGTACACTTATCATGATAAAAAAAGAGAGAGAGAAAGAGAAAAGAAATAAAAATAAAGATACCCGAGACTTGAACAGTTAGTAGGAGAGGCAAGAGTGCTTTGAGGGGCTTTATCTATCCTTCCCCATAATCGCCACCAGTCTTTCATTTTTTGATATCTTTCCAGATTTTAGGTGCTGTGAAAATACAGCTGCAAAGTAAGTTCCTGAGGCATCTTCCAACCAGAGTACCACACCTCAGCCCCTCATTTGTAGACATTTTGAAGCTGTCATTCTATATTATGCTTTATGATGTGTGAGTGCTGCCTCACACTTGTTAATTGGTGTGTCTTTATCACCTGTGTAGTCTTCCCAAAGTGCCTGTTGAATCCGTACTCATTCTCAAAATGATTGAAGTGAAATGATTTCTTCTGCCCACAGGATGTCTGACATACAAGGAGAGGAAAGGAAGACCAGTGGGGAGTAGATGGTGGCTATGGGAAGGACCCTAGATCTTTGGGTTGTTCTAAAGACCGACCATATCATTATAGGAACTTTTGCTCCCTTCAGCCTTACAGACAGGGGAGGGTTGAGAAAGGCACTGCTGAGCTGTTATGCCCAGATCGCCAGAACCCCAAAGACCACCAAGGAGCTGATTCCGATGCAAGCACACGAGGGTCTTTATTCAAGCTCGAGCAGGGACTCCAACGCACCCCGACGCAGCGGTGATGGTATGGAGCCTCGAACTCAGGGTCGCAGGGCTTTTTATTGCGGTTACAGTGGGATTCGGGAGCTTTCCGGCTTGGCAGTCCCTGATAGGTTGATTTTTAGTACAGGCGGTCTTGTCAGTACCCGACTGGCTCGGCCCATCTGGCCTGACCACAAACTGCCAACAGAAACGTCTTGGGACATAGGCGCCTCTTTTAAACTGATTGGCTGTTGCTGTTGCTAGGGGAGGAACTAAGGGCAGGCTGCCTAAGTACTTCCTGCGGTTTTTCCTGGGACTGGGTTCGGGCCTAGTTCACCCTCAAGATGGAGGCTTTTTCTAAAATGGAGTTGTTGTGCCCCGATTCGCGAGTCCCCAGAGACCACCAAGGAGCCAGCACCGATGCAAGTACAAAAGGGTCTTTATTACAAGCTTGAGCAGGGGCTCACCTGCCTACCGGTGTAGTGGCAGCAAGGTGAAGCCCTGAACAATAGTGAGCAGGGTTTTTAAGGGGTAAGGGACAGGGGTGTTACAGTGCATATGTTGTACGTATAGCATCATCACATAAGCACCAATTACAATTGTACAGCACCCATGGTAACAGCTTTGACCATTCAGTATCTGTGAGGTGTTCATTACTTTTGGTGGGACCCAATCATGACTTTTGAGAATCCTTTGAAAATGACCAATTATGAGGAGTTCAAAGGGCCCACGTGGGGTTCAGGCAAGCGGTGAGAAATTGGCCAGTTTGTATAAAATAACTGTTTGCAGTTCCCAGCCTTGACTCAGACCATAGGAATGGTTTTTGATTAGCTGATCTGAGGGCCATCCGAGGATGGCTTTAACCTTGAACAATCTGAGGCTTTTCCTGGAACTGGGACTGGGGCTGTGTGCAGCCTGAGGTTGCTCTTAATGGAGGCCTTAATTTCAGGCTCTTCAGAGTCAGTTAGATTTAGGTCTCACAGAGCCAACATACAAACTGCCCCAAGCTCATTCTGCCTCTCTAGTAGTGTAAGATGGCTGGAGATGGCTACAAGGCTGAGGTCACTAATATTTCATTTTCAGGGACAGGGTGTTGCCTGGAGGTCCTTTTATGGGATCTGGTCTGGATCACCCGGAAGAAGAACCAAGTGGCACTTAGAGATCTGGGAAGGCAGGAGGTTTATTTTACACTGGTGGGCTCAGAGGTTTGAGACCTGAATACAAGTGGGAAGGGTAATTTATAGCGTCATCTTCCGCATTCATGGCGGTTTTCACACATGCGGTAAACAGGGCAGGAAGAACCCGGAAAAGGAGTCTCTAAGCTAGGAACTAGAGCTTGTTTTAGTTCTGTTGGCCATCTTATGGTGCAGAGCTTTACTTATTTTTCCAGCTCCCAGGTGTATCAAACCAATGGATTACATAGCAATGGAGGAAGCTGTGTTTATTGGTCTCACTGAAAACAGAAAAATGAAAGATTTAAGGGAGAAAGAGACCTTCACAAGCCTTCAAATCCATGTTTTCAGACTTCACTCCCCTGTAACCTTAAACAGAGAGCTGTTTTTCCTGTTCAAGTGAGTTCCATGAACCCATACTCTATTTCTCTGAATTTGCAGACTGTTGAAAGCAGGCAGCTGGGGAGTCCTACCTCTGTTCAGGCAAGACTCAGACAGAATATGATTTATAACAGTGGGCCAGACAGGGTCCTGGAACTTGGGGGTCCTCTTTTTTACTTCCTGCTCTAGTTCTCAAGAGGCAGCTACGCTGTCATGGAGAGACCAGTGGATTTAGGCTTGGAAGATCTGTTTGTATCTGACACCACTTAACCTCTCCAGGCCTTGGTTTTCTGAACAATAAAATGGGGATAATACTGCCTCATGTGACCATGATAATGGATGTGACTACACCTTGTGATTAATCTATAGTTAGACCTGCAGTGGGGGTCAGCTAGTCAGTGTGGAAGGTCAGAGGGGGAAGATTTGGCTTGTGACCCACCTGGAGGCAGAGGGGAGCAAAATAACCAGTTCTTTCCTCTCTTACTGGGGCTTCAGGAATCTCCAGGGAGAGGGGCACCTGGATGACTCATTCAGTGAAATGTCTGACTTTAGCTCAGGTCATGATCTCATGGTTCGTGGGTTTAAGCCCTGCATCGGGTTCTGTGCTGACAGCTTAGAGCCTGTAGCCTGCTTCAGATTCTGTGTTTCCCTCTCTCTCTGCCCCTCCCCTGCTTGCACTCTGTCTCTCTCAAAAATGAATAAACAGTAAAAAAAAATTGTTTTAAAAGAATCTCCAGGGAGAACTAGCATCTATTAGTAAAGCTGCTCTGGAGATCAGGGCCACAGAAGTCTCCTTGTTGGTATACAAAGTTCAAGATGCCATCTTGTTTCCTCTTATACCAGTACATAGTATAGTTATATCCATTTTTCCCCCTGTGATTTTGCACTGCAAAATTTTGCCTCTTATAAAAGGCAAAAACATCTCTTGTTACTCCAACAAGACATCTGGCTTGATTCCTGAAGAGCAAAATCCAGGGAAAAGGAAGATAGAGAAATCGAAGAGCTATATCTGAATAACAAGTGTGGGATTACAGAGCCACCTTCAATTTCAGCCTTTCCACAAACTCTCTCAGGAGTAATTTCGTCAGAGAGCCATTTATTTATTCACCCAATTATTGGGCAAATATTCATTGGCTTTTCTGGTATGCTCAGGGCTGGGCTGGGCTCTGTAGGGATGATGATGTTTCAGGCTCCCTGGGGCTCACCTCACCCAGGAAGCTGCAGATGTCCTATTCTGAGGCCCCAAGGCCACTCTTGCAGCTGGGCGGCAGGAAGAGAAGTGGACAGACTCATTTTGTGGCTTCCCCCCAACGACTGAAGTCCTCAGCATCTGGAACCACCTCTTGGTCCTTTCTTCATCATGTCAGCCCCCAAGTGGTTCAGTGACACTCCTGTGTGCTCTTGGGCTTACCTGGGGACAATGAGGAAATGAGCCTGCATCAACAGATCTTCTGCCCCCAAAGAAGAGCCTCACCAAGTGTACAGACCAGCAAGGAACTTCTTTCTGCTGCAAATGGAAGCATCTCCTTCCTAGGGGGAGGCCAGGATTCTGGCAGGGGAGATGTTATTTAGCTTTAGTCAGCTTTGAATGCTTATTTTCCCCCAATTTGTGGATCTTCCTTTTATTTTTTGGTTACAATATATTTATTTTGGATCTTTTATTTATATACCAAGGGGGCTGCTTCCTAGGAAAGGACAGAGTTTGCCACTATGCCTGTCTTCTGTAGGATGAGAGCCCATTAACTGTAGCACAGAATTTAACAGAAAATAGTATTGCATTAGATCTAATTTTTGGTAGCAGTTGAGTGTCCACCACAGTACTCTACCCATATCAAGCTCCCTGTAAATATTGATGCTGGACTAAAGAAAACACAAAACAGACATAATGGGAAGATGAAGTGGAGCAGGCAATGGGAATTAAATGAGAAAAAGCAGAGTTAAATCATGAAAAAAAATTTAATGGAGTATTATAGAATTATCTGCTGAAAGGACAAAGTAGAACAGACTAAAAATAAAAGAGAATATAACAGTCAGTTAAAAGGAGTGTGAAGGCAGAGAAAAGCTGGAGAATTAGGACAATTAACCTACACACAGTGGTTCTCAATCTTGGCCGCACATTGGGATCACCAGGGGTGGTTTAAAAAATACTGAAGTCTAGGTGCTACCCCCAGAGTCTGATTTAATTGAATTGAGGTGGGGTCTGGGCATCAAGATTTTGAAAAGCTTCCTAGGCAATTCTGATGTGCAGCCAGGATTGAAAACCATTGTGGAAGAGAATCATTTAGTCAAATAATACAACTTGCGCAATCAAGTCTTGTTATGGTGTGGTCTTCAGGAGACAAGGAAAAATCTGTGACCACCAGGGTCTGCCAGTCCTCTCCTTGTCCTTTCTCCAGAACCAGCATGGATCCTCAAGAGCTCTCTTCCCTGGTCATTGGTCACCACTGGCCTGTTAGGAATCAAAGACCATGAGGACCTGCTTAGGTCAGCATCAGCCATCTATCTCCCTGTTCTCCTGAGCGCCTACAACAGTGCTGGGCACTTAATGGGCACTTGGTCATCTTTGCTTAGCAGCCATGCTCTTTGTCCTTTCCAGGTCCTATACTGATTGAAATGGGTTAAGTCTGTGGTTCTTGTTCCTCCTCTTAAATCCAGCCTTGACCTTTGAGATTCAAATTCCTATCCAGCTCCCTTTGAGAGGCAGAATTCAGATTTAGCCAGGGGAGCCCACTTGCTGTGATTCCCTCACTGGACAACATATCACTGTGTGTGTGTGTGTGTGTGTGTGTGTGTGTGTGTGTGTGTGTATGTAAGAGAGAGAGAGAGAGAGAGAGAGAGATGGAATGCAGCCTAGAGCACAGCAGACACAGAAAGTAAAGGGTTCTTGCTGTATTTCAACTCTGTGTTCTCTTTTCCTTCCCTCCTTCCCTCCCTTCCTTCCTTGTTTTTGTCCTGAAATTCCTAGGCTCACAGCAAACCATAGGCATCAAAGGAGACCTGCCTTTAAGAGTGAAAATATGTCCAGTGCCCTGACGTGGCTCCATGTTTTTGGAGGGGGTGAGTTACCTTCTTCTTTCTTGGAATTGCTGATTTCACAGTGAAGAATTGCTGGCACACCAAGAGAGCCGTGGGTAGAATGTAAAGTTATTGCTGCCTCTGGAAATCTATGATTTCCCTTGTTTGCTGGAAGAACCAGGGGAGAGGGTGGTGGGGGTTGGGGCTGGTGGTCCTCAGGTAGAACACAGAGAGGCCAGAACACAGGTTTTCATGCTGATAAGAGACTAATCTTATGCCTTTGTTGGTAGAAGTACCTTTATCAAAACAAAACAAAACAAAACAAAACAAAACAAAACAAAAAACAATGGTAATTTTGTCCTTCCATTCAACAATCTCCCAAAAGAGAGGAAAAAGCTGGAAAAACTTGGATTGGGGGCAGATAGTTTATGAGTTTAAAGGAGATGAATTGAAGCCCCACCTCTTTTTTGGTATTTGTCTGCACATTGTCCCTACTTTTCTCCTCTGAAAGGGAGAAAAATATTTTGCTCAAGATTCTTGGTTGGGAGTAGGATTGGGGGACAGTTCAGGGATGAGGAGAAGATAAATGCTTTTTTTCTTCTTTTGTGATAGAAGCTTATGAAAAAATAGAATGTAGTACTTCAGTGCTTATAGGGAGCTCAAATTCTGTACTTCAGAGCCCTACAGCTGCAGAATTAAGATCTTATATAGATCAAATATCTACCAACCTGCTAATTGTCCCCTAAGGCAGAGGGTAGTGACATAATGGCTCTCCCAGAATCCTAGGGAAATTCCATGCTTCATTTTCCAAAGGGAAGCAAATAAAGCCCCTTACGCTTCATTGCAAGGGAGAGGAGGGAAGTGAGACCATTCCTATTCTACATTCAGTGGGAGAGAGTTAGATGACCCCATCCTCTGGGTTGAGTCTATGCCTCCAGAGGAGGAGAAATGCCAAGATGGAGAGGCTTCACTTTCTTTTCCTTGGGAGAGATGTGTGGAGTAAGCCCAGCTGCCAGTACAGTTTGGTCCTCCATGCCAGTGGCTTCCACAGCCCCCAGTAGTAACTGGCATCCTCCATGCTTCTTCTGGTTGGACCTCCAGCCCAGACACAGTTCTGTAGGCACCTACCTCCCAGTTCTTGAGCTCTGAGCTAATGCACTTAACTACCTTGCTTAGTTTTATCCCAGTTTGGGAGGAAAAAAGAAATGAGGCTGAAAGAATGGCTAAAACAGGGCATCAGCTGTAAAGATACAGAACTAATGGAAGAAACAGGGAAGAGAAACATGGTCCCATTCTTGAGTGCTCTGGGGAAGGCAGCTGTGTTGATAAAAAGAAGTGGCCAAGACGTGCCTTTGGGGCTAGAGAAAAAGACCTCCCCAAACAATTAAGTGGGAAAGTTAGTATTTGGGTGGATGGATGTTGGTACAGCAGCTTGAGTTGCCATAACCCAGTGTCCTCATACTGTCCCAGTACCCTCGCCCACTCTGAGTCTGATGCTGCCCCAATGCCACACCCTGGACATCTCTGACTATCTGGTTGGTTTGTGGTGAATCACTGGTGGCAAGCGGGGATGGGTAGAGGGGCAAAGATGGAGGTAAATACAATATCACTGATCACATTCACCATGGCTTATCATAGTAAAGAGTGGTTGTTTTATTATCCCCGTGGTACTGGTGTGTTAGAGCTGGTTGGAATGCAGAGGCTGTTACACACATCATGCATGTGACAAATTAAAATGCTGTTAACCCTGAGCTACATAATGAATGCCTAGTACAAGCGAAAGAAAAGATTATTGAGTAGAAAAACAAGCTATTCGGTTGGCAGGGCTTTAATTGCCAAGTAGTCTGTTAGTTTGCACATGGGCATGACTGAGCAGTGACTGTGTGAACTTGGGAAGTTACCAAAGGAGAGCAAAGGAAATACTATGTCCAGCCTGATGAACAACCTGCATCTATCAAAAAGCGATACTATTGCAAGTGAAATCATGGTGTGTGACAAAGCACACAGTATCAATCTAAACCGACAGCAGTGTCCAGACTATGGTGAGAAATCGGGGGTGTAGGATAACAAAAGGTGCATGGGGAATGGCATATGCCAAGAAGACAGACTAGAAGAGAACAGGGGAAGATGATTTTTTTTTTCGCAAGACTCAACTGGTAATGATCCCGCTCTGCCAGAATACTCTATTTTTAAAAGTACCAGCTCAAGCTCCAGATGGGTTTCCCAGGGTCTGAGCCGAGGGTCCCAGCTGCAGCACACTAGGGAGAGAACCGTAGCCTCTATTCACAATCTGCTGTGTTGGTATTGACTCACAACGTGGTTGCGGACCCGGCTGGACAGCATACCAAACTCCCAGTGGAAATCCTAAAGCCATTCCACCCCTTGTCAATAATAAATATATGTTAATCTAGGGAAGTGTGATGGGGAAGGGATACTCCCAGAAAAAGAAGATAATTTAAAATGTTATGGCAAAAAAAAAAAAAAAGTGATGACCGTTGAAAAATGTTTATTTTGGCGGAAAAGATGTAATCTGCACAATTTTCCTCTAATTTTGAGAGACTAAATTCTAAGTTTTAAACGTGCGAAGGCCAAAGGCAAACTCTGCTTTAGGGCAGCCAAGATGAGAAATAGCAGTCTCTCTGTACACACATATGAAGGAGCTGTGCCGTGGGGTTGTGCCCACGTCACACTTGGGGCCTCCCTGTGAGGCCGTCGGGAACCCCTAATTCACTTGGGAAAATCATCAAGTCTAAAAACGTTCTTAGCTTTTCTCTACACAATGTTCAGTTTCCATCGGACTGCTGTTTTCTAACGTGTATAAAACTGAGCTGCCTTCAACTGGTAGAAGAGGCCCTGGGAGAGGCTTGGAAAAAACTGGATCAACATTCAGATGAAGCCCACAGGTGTAGGTGCCACATGCTCTCACTAGAGCTGCTGGTGAAACACCTTTCTGCAAGGCAGGGAGTCCTCTTCTTGGATCCCCTCTTTGGCCTGACTCCTAAATTGAGGATTCAGCATTACATGGTGGAATCTTTGCTCTGGTTGGGTGGGAGAGTTTCAGGCAAGCCCTTGCTGTTTTCTCTTACCTTTTCATATTAAAGTAGGGAGTAGATTCAAGTGGGGACTATTGAGAAGAGTTAGTCATCCATGGCTGTAAGATACCAGCATTGCCAGATGGGGTGTGGGAGTGCAAGCAATTTATAAAGCCTTTGCAGCAATTTCTGTGACCACGAGGGATGATAGTGGCTCTATTTAGCATTTTTGAATTTAAGTATTCACCTCATGCCAATGTATGTAGTGATGTTCTCTCATCTGAGGTTGTTCATTTGGAAATACAGAAGGGTGAGGCATTATTTCTTGAAATAAAATATTCCCTTTCATTACAAGTGTGTCTCAGTGATCCCTAAAGCAGAAATTCAGTTCAAACATTAAATTCAATAATCAGATATTAAACACTTACTATGCAACACACTGTGGAAACTGAAGATGAAACAGACCATGGATCCCTGTCCTCGAGGAGTATATGAATTAGGAGGAGCATAAAGGACATATCCAAACAATCTTGGAAAAAGAAAGAACGCAGAAATGACTCAAGACAGGTAAGTGCTAAGGTGGTTCAACCGGGGGAGACTGTATCCTCAGAGGGGAGTTTCATATCGGAGATATAAATTTGGGAATCATAAATGTGGAATTTGCCACAGGCATGAATGAGATCCCTGCGGGAGAGATACAGAAGGGAGGAGGGATCCAAGCAAGGTCTCTGGATGCTCTATGTTTAGAACCTAGTCAGGGGAGGAAGAGCCAGCTAAGGAGACTGGGAAGGGGAGACCAATGACCCTAGAGGAAAATCAGCAAAGCCTGGCATCCCAGAAACTAAGTGTGGAAGGCATTGCAGGAAGGAATCGGTGGTGCACTGCTGAGAGGATGTATGATCGTCAACTATCTATTCCTGTGTGTGTTTTATGTTTGTGTCCTCTTAAACTGGCAAATCCATGAGGGCAGGGCCCATGTTTATTTTGCTCACACTGTGTACTCAATGTCTGGCATAGTACTTGGCACAGCAGGGGACACAAGATATATTTGTTGCATAAAGGAAGGAAGACATAGAAGCCAGTCTAACGTATTTGTACTTAATTCAATAGGCAAAGAGTAGTATTCAAATGAGCATTTTCAGATTTCTCACACAGAGTTCGATCTTAGCCAACAATGAAGCCTTCTTTAGGAGTCCTGTGCAGATATATTGGTTTCATGCAGGCCTCCTCTCACCATCATTAGGTGTCCTTCAGTCTGGATAACATGGAAATGAAGAAGCAACAAGAATCCATCTGGGTGGTTCTCCTGTAATCCTTTAGGGCAGTGTTAGTCATTGGAATCTCATGATATATTAATGATTCTGCCATTATGGAAAGATACCTATAATCCCAATCTTGGGGTAAGTAGCTGTCTTTATAGCAGACATTGTCAGAGCATTTAATCTGATAATACAGAATGGTGAGTAGTAAGAGAAGGCTGTTAATACAGAACATTTTCCAAACGTATATGACCAGGGAATCCTTGTTAGTTGCATAACAACTGTTAACATCTCAAGGGACAGTAATATTCTGAAGGACAATTTGGCAAATGTTGCACCAAGGTTTAATAACAATTCCAAGAGGGGAAGAAAATCATATCACATTTATTTTTAGTTGACATGGGTAGAAACTCCCTATACTGCATACACATTACATAGGTGGAGTCCAAAGGAACGGTAGGTTGCATCATTGTTCTGAAATAATTGATTCCCCCTTCCATGTGAGAAGATTATCGATTCCTGCCTGTTGCTGTGGGTCTTGCAGTAGCTTCTGTGGGGAGTGGGGGGGTGAGTCCCTGCCCAGTTGATTCTGGACTTGAGCCATGGAAGGGCTTTGTGAGTGGACATGGTGTGGTACATGACAGAGCACAAGCTTTAAGGAGCATCTGGAGCAAACTCCATTTGTAGCTGACTTTTTTATACTTCATAGGAGAAAAGTTGAATTCTTGTCCTGCCTAAAAACAACTTGACA